GGAGCTCAGCCCTCCAAAGAGTTAACGAGAGTCTCCAGAGCCGCAGAGAATATTCCCGGCTCCCAGGGGCACAGCCTTCACCCACCCCCTGACTGCTGCGCCCTGGGGATGCCGCGGGGCACGCAGGCTCCTGCTCTGACGGATGTCAGCTCCAACAGCACTCGGGGCTGCGGGAGGGAGCCAGGGGCTCTGTGAGCATCACCATCCTCCCCGAGCTGCTCTTGGCGCTGTCCTCTCCTCAGCCAGGCTCCTCTGCCCCGGTCCCCCAGTCCCAAGCTGCCCCTTGGGACCTGCAGGCAGCAGCCCCCTCCCCACGGACCCACAGGAGACAGAAAACAGCGCGATCCTTCCCTCTTTATGCCACAGCTCCAGTCCTGGAGGAGCAGCTTCTGTCCCCCCACCAGCATCGCCCGGCGCTCTCACAGCCCCTCTGCTGAGCGGCACAGCAGCATCTGCCCCTCCACCACACCCGTGTTTCGCTCTCTTTCCTCTGGTCAAGAAAAAAGAGGATAAACCCAGACACTCGCAGGTTCCTGGGGACCAGCAGGGCTGGCTGCTCTCCCCATGGACCCTTCAGCCAGTCTTCCTTCGGACCCTTCCTTCCTCTCGGAAGGTCCACAGGGTGCAAAGGACGTGTCCACCCCAGGGTCACCCGGGAGGGCAGTGGCTGAGCTGGGCACGAATGTGACCCCACCAATCCTCTGCCTGAAGCCTCCCATCCCCACCGGGGGCTGCTCCTCAGCTCCCTGCGGCTCCCCATCCCACCGCGCTGCTCTCCGCCATGCTACAGCCTGGCATCTCTTCCCCGGGTTGCCAAAGCAACGGCAGAAACACAACAAACAGCAACAACACGCAGCAGACAGTCGGCAAACATTCCCCTCTTATTTTCTCCCCGGTTCGGTTTGTGCTTTTTCCCCCTCTCCCACAAGGAAGCTGCTTGCCATCGGAAGGGAACAGCGATATTATAAAAATCGGAGAGCGAAGCCTGCGCCACCCCAGAGCCCGGGGAGGGGTCGAGCCACAGCCCGAGCCCTGCAATTGTGGGGGATCAGCGGGAACAGCTCGAGAATGGGATCAGGAGCGCTGCAGAACGGGACAGGGGCTCTGCAGGAACGCTGCCTTTGAGAGGGCCTGCCCAGAACCTGGAACCCGGCACCCAGAACCTGGAACCCAACAACACCACCCAGAACCCAACACCTGGAACCTGGCACCCAGAACCCAACACCCAGACCCCCATTACCCAGAACCCAACACCCAGACCCCCATTACCCAGAACCCAACACCCAGACCCCCATTACCCAGAACTCAACACCCAGAACCCAGAACCCAGAACTCAACACCCAGAATCCAGAACTCAACACCCATAACCCAACAACAACAGCTGGAACCCAGCACCCAGAACCTGGAACCCAACACCCAACAACAATACCTGGAACTCAACATCCAGAATCAGGACTCAGCACCTGGAACCCAGAACACAGAACTCAACACCCAGAACCTGGAACCAAACACCCAGAACCAGCACCCAGCACCTGGAACCTGGCACCCAGAACCCAGCACCTGGAACCCAACACTGAACACTAGAAACCCAGCACCTGCAATAGGGAACCCTGCACCCAACACCCAGAACCCGGAACCCAACAACACCTAGAACCCGGAACCAGCAACGACACCTAGAACGCAGAACCCAATAATGACAGCTAGGACCCAGAATCTAGAACAGGTAATGACACCCAGAACCCAGAATCCATGACCCGGAACAAGGCCGACACCTAGAACACAGAATCCAGAACCAGGCAACGACACCTAGAACCCGGAATTCAATTGCACCTAGAACCCAGAACCTGATAATGACACCTAGAACCCAGATCCCGGAACCTGCTGACACCCAGAACCCGGTAACAACACCTAGAACCCGGGATTCAGAACCTGGAACCCGGTACCGACACCTAGAACCCGGGGCCCAGAACCTGGAACCCGGTACCGACACCTAGAACCCAGAGCCTGGAACCCAACGACATCTAGAATCCAACACCCGGACCCAGGTCCCAAAACCCAGAACACAACACCCAACACTCAGAACCCGGCACCTGCAACAGGGAACCCAGCACCTGGAACCAGGAACACAGCAACACCCAACATCCAGAACCCAGTACCAGCACCCAACATCCAACACCCAGGACCAGCACCCAGAACAGGAACCAGCTCCCAGCACCCAACACCCAGAATCCAGCACCCAGAACCCAGAATCCAGCACCCAGATTGAGAACCAGCACCCAGAACCCAAAACCTGGAACCCAACAACACCTAGAACCCAGAATCCAGAACCCGGTAACTACACCTAGAACCCAGAACCTGGAACCAGAAAACACCTAGAACCCGGAACGTGACCACACCTAGAACCTGGAACCCAACACCCGGACCCAGGTCCCAGAACCCAGCACCAGCACCCAACATCCAACATCCAGAATCCACCATCCAGAATGAGAATCAGCACCCAACACCCAGAACCCGGAACCTAGAACCCAACAACACCTAGAACCCGTAACCCGGAACCAGCARYGACACCTAGAACTCAGAATCCAGAACCCAGCAATGACACCTAGAACCCATGACCTGGAACCTGGAACCCAACACCCAGAACCCAGCACCCGGACCCAGGTCCCAGAACCCAGAACACAACATCCAACACCCAGGACCAGCACCCAGAATGAGAACCAGTTCCTAGCACCCAACACTCTGAACCCAGCACCCAACACCCAGAATCCAACACCCAACAACACCAGCAGCTCCCAACACCCTGAACCAGCTCCCAACACCCAGAATCCAGGACCCAGTAAGAGAGCTAGCACCCAAACACCCAGAACCAGCACCCAACACCCAGAACCAGCATCCAACAACAACACCAGCAGCTCCCAGCACCCAGAACACGCACCGGCTCCCAACAGCCTCTCCACCAGGCCAGGCAGCCCGGAGCAGGTGGGATCAGGACCTTTCTGAACTATTTTTCATCCCATTTGGGTGCGTGGCTCCTGTGAGCAGGCTGGGGTGGAACGAGAGTAGTGAGCTCCCAGCTGTGCCTCCCCCAATCTCCTTCATCCCATCCCACCTCTCCCTCCCAAAGGCTGGGACACCCCAGCATCCCAACCTTTCTCCACAGATTACACTTGGCAGCTTTTTTAATTCCTGCACATGCCAGGTGCTGACACCAACCCAGCCTGTGAGATGTGAAATGCTGGATGTGTGCCCTGATGCCACTTTTCTCTCCTTCTCACACACACATCTATACATGTGCACACACTTACCCTCATTCCTTTTTTTTTTTTTTTTTTTTTTTTTTTTTTTTTTTTTTTTTTTTTTCCACCCATCTGGCAGCTCGTTTATGCTCCTGGAGGCAGTTTTGGCAGTGAGGAGGGAGCAGGAATGGGGTTTGTGTTGCTGAGGGGTTGTGTGGCACTTTCAGCAGCACCAGGAATGCCGGATCAGAGGGGTGGCACAGAAGGGGAAGGCACTGAGGGAGCGCTCTGAAAACACAATAATTCCCATGCAGGGAATGCTGTTGGACCAGGAATGGTGCTGAGCACTGCCCAGGACCTGCTGGAGCTGATCTGGATCAAATCACACCTCCCTGGACACAGAGAGTGCCAGGATAAGGGGGAATGGCTTCCCACTGCCACAGRGCAGGGTTAGATGGGATATTGGGAGGAAATTCTTCCCTGTGAGAAGGGAAGGTGCCCGAGATCAGGTAGGAAGGGGCTTGGAGCACCCTGGGACAGTGGAATTGGAATTGGATCATCTTTAAGGTCCCTTCCAACAAAACCACTGCAGGATTCTCTGATGTGAAACATGAGCCCCACGGAGCTCCCAAATCTCTCCTTTTCTCCGCATTCCCAAACAACACTCCTCAGGATGGTCTCAGGGAGACGATGGGGCAGGACCTGACTTTGCTCCCTGCCCCTTTTCACTGTCCCAGCACCAGGCAGACCCCAGGGAGCCCAGCACTGCAGGAAAAGCCCAGGAGGCTGCAGAAGGACGAGTCCCCATCCCCTGCGAGCTCCAGCTTTGCTCTGTCTCTTGTCTGCAATGACATCTAGTGGAGCTGTCTCGGCAGGAGCGCAGCCAGCCAGACCCAGGGCTGAATTCCAGCCCTCACAGCACTGAATTTTCCTCTCCGAGCTCCTCTCCAAAACGTGTGGGCAGGAGGCAAGAGGTGGCACCCCATTTCTGAGTCATGGCTGGCCACAGCACAACTTCCCAGGAGCCAAAAAAAAAAAAATCACCTTTTCCGCAGCAACACCCACAGTATCAGTAACATCCTCCAGCCCCTGCTGTGACTGTGCTTAGTGAAGAGTTGGGACTGTTATCATTAGGTGGAGTTCTTTACCTCAGGCTTTGCCTCCATCCCCAAAACACCCTCCCAAAAAAATGTTTTCTAGGTGCCAAATGCTGCTGCTGCAAAGCCAATGTCTGCTTGGCTGCTGGTGGCAACAAACCACACACAGCCACAGCCAGAGATGCACTGGGTCCTCCTCTGAAGGCAAGGAAGGAAAAAAAACCCCAAATATTTATAAATAAATAATGAAGCAGAAGGTAAAAACTCTAATGTGGTGCTGGGTAATGTGCAGCAGCAACTTCCCAGGGTCCTGTCCCTGCAGATGGTGCAGCAGCCAACAGGTTAATGACAGCCCAGTCCTATTTTAAACCTGGAAAAGTGCTGCAGCTTGATCCCACTTCATTCCTGTAGAGATATAATCATAGTCTTTAGGAGATGTAATCATAGTATTTATTTAAGAATTAAGCCTGTCTGAAAGTGGCCTAAATTCCCCAGGCAGAGTTGGTGCCTCAGCACCTGACCAGGCACCGCTGCGAGGAGCAGCTCCCTGGGGTCCCCAGGAATTGGGGGCTGTGGGCAATGTCACCAGCCTGAAAAACCCTGGGCAGCAAGGGGCAAAGCAGGTGAGGCCCACAGGGAAATGATCACCCAGAGCAATTGTGTATTTTCTGATCTTTATTTGGAGTACATCTTGATTTGGAGTGAACAAGCAGAGGCAGCACAGCAGGAATCCAGCACAGACAGGAACGGGATCAGCACCGTTTGAGGCATTTGTATGACAGAAGGGAAAGAAAAAAACACATAACCTCACAAACAAACATCACTTTCCAAAGACAAGATGGAGATGCTGATGGATCAAGTACCATGGCACTTACTGGAGGAACAAGGGAGATTCCCATTCCCTCCCCAAAAAACTTTGTGGAGCAGATTTGGGACCTGCTGCTCCCGTGCCTGAAGGAAATGGAGTGGGAGGAGGTTGGGAGCACCAGCAGCTCCCTCCCCACCCATGGAAAGGGCTGGAAAAGGAGCTCACAAAATGCTTTAAATGCAGCCATGGCCAAACACGGTCCTTGTGCCACACCTGGAAACCCATCAAGCACCAGAGGAAATCAAGAGGGGACAGAGATGCCACCATCACTGCTGAGATGCTGCTGTGGGGTTGTTCCACATGGGCCAGAGCCACGGTTCCTTCTCCAGCCCCCCAAAGCATCCATGGGACAACAGTGAAATTCATCTTTATAAACCAAAATCCTTCTATTGCACCTCAATTTACCAGAGAAGAGCTCACGGGTGTCTCCACAAGCAGTTATTGCCTCTGTGTTCTGGCCTTTCCCTACCTGTCCATATAAAGACTGATTCTGACATTTCCCCAGCCTCAGTGTGAGGAAGAAATATATTTTTATACATATATATATATATTAGAATACCTTTATTACATCAGTAAAAACCTGTATAGTGTCCAGAAATGGAGTGTCCTTGAGCAGCTGGCTGATACAACACAGGAATTGAACAGCCAAAACACCCAGATAAAAAAACAGATTTTAAAAGCAACGCACGCTGCAAAAGCTTTGGCAGCCTCCTCCTCATGTGGGGAGGTCGGGCATGGGTTTGGTACCAAATTTGGGGTGCCCAGGGCTGGGGCTGAGCCACGGATGCTCAAACACCAGGAAAGCTCCATGGCCAGCAGCAGCTTCCCTTCTCTGGGACCACCAACCCTAAAGTCTCTTTGGCAAATTTCCATCATCCCCCTTCCCTGAAGTGCCACCCCCAAGCCCTGAGCCCGTTACTTCTTGAAGAATTTCTTGTTGAGGAGGAAAATGAGCAGGTTGACGTTGACCTTGGCCTTATCAAACATTTTCATGACTGCCACACCCTCGTACTGCAGCTGCAGCAGATCCTGGGGGAGAGGAGATGAAATTTCTCAAGTGAAATTCCCCCACACACCCCCACTGTCCTCTCTGACCCCCCAGCCACCTAAAGGATGGGTTCCCCACCTGGTAGAGCAGCTGGAAGCACTCCATGTCGATGCCCATGAATTTGGCTTTCACCTCGAACCTGCCTGATTCCTCGCACGGGGTGATGTCAAAAATCACATTCTTGAACCTGAGAGGACAAAGCCAAAAGAGGCTTCACAGCTTTAACACAACCATGGGAGCAGGTCCCAGAGCATCCCCTCGGCACAGCAGCCAGACCCACAGAAAATCCCAACTTTCCTGTGYTCTCCTGCACAAAACAACCTGCCCCATCCATGGCAGGACAACAGTAGCCCATGTGCACCCTCCTCCCGGGTTATTTTCCTCTCCCTGCCCAAGCTGTCATAAAATTGTGGAATATCCTGAGTCAGAACATCCCCACAAGAATCATCAAGTGCATCAAGTCCCACTCCTGGCCCTGCACTGAATATCCCCAAGCAAGAGCTGCTGCCCTGGGGCTGGGGTTACGCACTGGCTGGGTGGCAGGTCCTGGATCTCCAGCAGCACCCCCTTCTCCCACAGCTGGGCTGCTGTGTAGTGCAGCGAGGGCAGCTTCTTGTTCTTCCCACTGACCCTGGAAAATAAGGGACACATGCTGAGAGCTCATCTCTGACCACCCTTGGACTCCCAACAACCAGACAGCAATGAAAACAAATAATGATTTTTTTTTTTAAATTAGAGATTTTTGGTAAGGAACCGCACTTGTTGTTGGCTGCCAGGTTGTCGAGGCAGGTCTTGATGTACTGGTTGTAATAATCAATCTGCTCCTCGTAAAACAGAGCCTTGGCATCGAGGCCCTCCAGGGTCTGCCTCAGCTTCAGGAGCTCCCCACGGCGCTGCTGCCGGTGACGCCGCTGGTTCCGGATGTCCTGGAGGAAACAAAGCCACCAAATGTCATTCTGACTTCACCTCAGCGGGGTCCAGCAGCAATTCCTCACTCCATGCCCCCCAGCACACCTTGGCCAGCTCGTCAATGAGCTCCTGGTACCCGTTTTCAGAGCTCACCAGCCCCAGGCTCTCCAAATGCCGCAGGTTGCGGATGACCTTGCGTTTTTTCTCCTCCACGGACAGGCGGCCGTTGGCAACCAGGGACGGGTGGCGCTGCAGATGGGCACAGGGCTGGGCATCCTGCAGTGCTCTCCGGAGCACCAGATGCTCGTGAGCAGCTTCCTGGGGGTGAAAAAGGGGTGAGACTGGAGCACAGCTGGGATGGGGTTAGAGATGGGTGTAAGAGACCATACAGAACTGTCTCACGATCATCAAAAAACCCCAAGAGGGGAGAAAGGGGGACTTTTGCTCAAAGGAGTCCGAGCCACATCAAGGTGGGGTGTCTGCCAAGTTTCCAGCTCCTAGGCTGCTGAGTACAACGTGGATAGTTGCACCGTTCCTGATGTGAAGGCGGAGGAGAACAGTACGACCCCATGCTGCACCCTTTATAAAACAATAGACATTCTTTCCCCACCGCTTGGTTGGTTTTTCCATACTTCTCAACCCCCTGGCCTGCTGCCACCCGCTTTCAAAAAGACTATAAAAACTCTCTCTGAAGAGACCCTGACGAGATCTCCCAAACGGACATCGGCGAACCCATGGAATCCGGACCTCGCGGACTCATTGGAGCCATTTGGTAGCTATAACCCCATTCTCTCTCTCTCTCTCTCTTTCTCTCTCTCTCTCTCACCCTCTTCTATCGTGAAAATCCAATTAAATTGTTCATGATTTTGAATATATACTTGCCCTCGTTTCTTTTGCACTCTGAGATTCTGATAACAAACCCTCAAGATCCCCGCTTGGGTTAAGCGGATCGTGACAATGGGGCAACCCAACCCCTTCAGCCACGTTTTAATGTGGACCAGAGCATGGGATTTTTCTGAAAATCAGAGTCTTCCAGTCACTGCTGAATCACACGAGCAGTGGTCAAACCTCTAAGAGAAGCAGAGCAGCTTTCTGCTGAGGACATTTTTGCCCTTTGCCTGTGAAATTTTTCAGTTCATCCCCAGCAGCAGCCTCACACGTCCCACCTCATGCTTTGAGGCTGGTGTCCACAGGATTTCTGGGAGGGAATCTCCTGGCTGCGACTGGATCAAATCCACCACCATCTGCTTGGTGCTAGAAACCAGAGGGAGATATCAGGCACCCACTCCAGACCATCACCCTCCACACAATATTCAGCTGCCTCTTAAGGGTTTTTTGCCTGCTTTTGAGCATCCTAACACTCCCAGTACCCTTGTGATGCCTGCAGAGCCCATCCTCACCTCAGCAGCAGGCTCCTCGTGTCGCTCTCCTCGCTGCTGGCTGCTGGCATCAGTTTGTTGGTGAGGGTGAGGGAGATCTCTGTTCTGCTGAGCTGGGAGAGCACCTGTTCTGCACCACTGTCTGCCAGGCTGGCAATGCCCTCCCCTGAGGGCAGAGAGAGTCCTGCTAGGCCTGGCTTCCCATGCACAAGTTGGAATTCCCAACCCAGTTGGAGCTCTGTGCAAGGAATGCGTGCCCATGTCCACCCTCCTCCCGCCAGGAGTTTGACCTACCAAGCAGGGACTGGACTGTAGGAAGTTCACCAAGATCCTCCAGGAGCTCGTGCAGAAGGTCACTGGGGTGTGGGGCAATGGAATCCTGGTGCTGGAGCAGGAGCTGGACGGTGCAAGGGATGAGTCAGTGGCAAAGGGAGAGCGAGGGAGGGTCACAGCCAGGAGTGGCACAAACCCAGAGGGGATGGAGAAAGGACAAACCTGCAGAATCTAGGTTATTTCCTTGCTTAAAAGAGAAAAAAAAGGGTCAGCAAGAGGGAAGCTGTGCCAGGGGTGGGATAGAGTGTGAGAAAATGCAGCAGAAAGCACAGGAGGTGGGAGCAGAGGAAACAGAGCTCGCCCTGTGAGCTTTATGCCCTGACCTTGTGCGTGTTGATGAGCTCCCCCACGGTGATGTAGATGACTGGTTTGGCTACTGCCACCATCTCTGAGTACTCATCCATGTTAAATCTCTCTTCTGGCTCGGGGACACAGCAGGCAGCAGAGATGAACCTCCTGCAGGGAGGGAACCCTTCAGTCAACCCCAAAACCCCATCACTGCCTCACAGCCCCTCCTCACCCCAACACCAGCCCGGGGCCCACCTGAACTTGTTGTGGGTGTCCTCCAGGTACTGGTTGACCCCGCAGAGATGGGCACTGTCCCCCTGGAAGGCTTTGTGGGCAGCAGCGTGCTGCAGCACCCTGGCGATGGAGCCCAGGCTGCGGCGCTGCTCGGGGGGCAGAGCTGCTCCTGCTGACACGGCCACGATGTCAAAGCCATCGGGGGCCACCACGGCCGGGTTCATGAAGCGGTAGTAGAGCAGGTTCCCCACGATCTAGGACAGGAGAAAGCTGGAGGTTAGGACCCAAGGAGGCAATAGCTCAGCAGGGTGGGGTGTTTCATCCTTGCACTGCCCGTCTGGACCTCTCTGGAGGGGATGGCAGTGCAGGGAAAAGCCCACTCTCAGCGTTTCCTCAGCAGCTCAGGGAAAATGCTGCCTTGGAGATATTTTTAAGCTGAAGGGGACTTGGCTTTCTGTGGAGGGATGTGCAGACACAGTTGAACCCCAGCAAACCGTGCAGATGCCCCAGCCCCACGGTACCTTGTCCACCTCCTCAGCCGGGGCCTTGGGGAATCTCTCAACCAGAGACATCCTCAGGATTTTGGCCATGTAGCGCATCCCATAGCTGAGGAGAGTGTGGGGAAAGCTCCGTCAGCATGTGGGTCCACCCTGAGCCACTCCTACCATCCATCACCCAAGAAGCAGCAAACCCACAGCCCTGGGGTGATGGAGAAACCCACGGGTGGGACTGGCAGCTGCAGCACCCCTCAGCTCCCTCCCCTACCCTGCTGCCAGCCCAGGCATTTCTGCAGGAAGCCTCCATCCTCCAGAGGACCACAAAGCTCAGATTCTTCCTGGCAGACATACCAATGATGTCAGCAGTAAAGTGCCCAGAAACTGAGCGGAAAAACAAACCAGGACGTGAGGCACTGCTGAGATTTGGGGTTCCTCTTGCTGACAGGGCAGTTACTCAGTCCTGCACCATCAAAGGGTCCAGGAAGCCCCCCATAAGCCAACCTCCCTTCTAAGGCCATGCTGGAAACACCTCAGAGCCAACAGCACTGCTGGGTGTGCACAGAAACCACCGGGACACTCACGGGATCTTGTCAACAGAAGAGGTGATGGCAGAGACAAACTTGTCTGTCATTGCCAGGAGATTGCGGATGGAAATGTCCAGGCGCCTCTGAACCTCGGGGTGGCTGAGAGCCTGCTCAGGGCTGACCTCATACGGGAGTTTGCTGTGAAGGGAAGACAAAATCCCCATCACCATCCCAATGCCCGTCACTTGTGGCCGAGTCAAACCTCACCAGCCAAGGTCTGACCTTCTGTGCCCACTCTGGGACTCAGCCTGGTTAATCCACGCCTTGTAGATGTCCACGGGGTCTGTGCGGATGCTGAGGCTCTTGTCCTGCAGCACCTCCTGCACCGGGCCGGCCAGGATGTCCCGCAGGGCGTTGTGCCCACGCACGTTGCGGTAGAAGCTGACCACCAGCCGGATCACCGTGGCATTGCCCATCAAGATGTCGTGAACGTGGTCCACCTTGGACCTGGGCACAGAGATGGGGTGGATGGGATGAGGGGATGGAGCAGGGCGTGTGTGTGCTCTCCAARCAGGAGGCAGCAGCCTCAGGAGATAACAGCATCCACACTGATGCATTCAGCCTTTCCCTGGGTGTAAGAGACCGTACAGAAAACCCTTGACTGTCTCACCATCATCGACATGGACTGAGACTGAACACCCCAAAACCCCAAGAGGGGAGAAAAGGAAGACTTTTGCTCAAAGGAGTCCGAGCCAGATCAAGGTGGGATGTCTGCAAATTTCCAGCTCCTAGGCTGGAAGGTACAATGTGTAAGCTACGGATGGTTGCACCGTTCCTGACGTGAAGACAGAGAGAACGGTACAGCCCACAGCCCATGCTCACACCTTATAGATATTCTTTCCCTACCACTTGGACGGTTTTTCCATACTTCACAACCCCCTGGCCTGCTGCCACCCGCTTTCAAAAAGACTATAAAAAGTCTCTCTGAAAAGACTCTGATTGGGATCCCCCAACGGACGCTGGCGAACCTATGGAATCTGGACCCCAAGGGACTTGTTGGAGCCGTTTGGTAGCTATAAAACCCATTCTTTCTCTTCCCTCTTTCTCTCTCTCTCTCACTTTTTCTCTCTCTCACCCTCTTCTATCATGAAAATCCAATAAAATTGTTCATGATTTTGAATATATACTTGCCCCTCATTTCTTTTGCACTCTAAGATTCTGATAACGAACCATCACAACTCCCGCTTGGGTTAAGCAGATTGTGACACTGGGCTTGTCCCCAAAGCAGAGCACCCGTGGACACCCACCTGATCTCCTCCTGCAGCGCTGCTT